GTGAACTGTGGCAGCATTGTGCCTAGTGTTCAATTTCAGGAGTAGTATTCACAAACTCAGCTGCATACCCACACTTCCCTGGAATGAGTGAAAATCGACAGAGTCTAGGAGTGAGGTGGATAAATCCCAGCACATTGGCTGGAGGATGCCTACACTGAATTTCCAGAAGAATGAGGAAGTATATGAATATGTTTCTATGTTGAATATGTTTCTCTCAGATTTACAGTATTATCTGCAATAAGCATCTGTGTAAGAGTTGGATTTTTATGCTGAAATTCTTCTTTTCATGTCACTTTACTGAATGGCTCCACTGGCAGAGTAAGGCAAACTCGGTATTCTTCTTTTAACATGGTACAAGAGGTTTGGCCAATTCCCATCAAGAATTCCAGACTCTCTTTGGGAATTAGAAATGTGATTTATTTTCTTTATTTCTTTTTAAAATTCAATTTATGGAGCTGGGACTCTGTGAATTTCTATTTTCTCCACCGTACGGTGGAGAACCAAGAACCCTGTGGAAACATGGCTTCAAACCTGGCTCTGAGGGAAATCTTATTACAGTGCTGTAGCTGGGATTGAGACTTGTGCTAATACTTGTTCCTGCTCTCTTTACAGATGGCATCAGTTTTTCTTTGGTTTAGATGTCACCTGTGGAAAACAGAGACAAGATACTGTATGTGCAGTTGAAATAGTTTTTTTCAGTATGGTACTGCAAACCCCACCATTAATTCATTTCTATACAACTTGAGTATGAATCTTGCAGGTTAGTTGTTTTGTACATCTCTTTTTTTTTTTTTTTTTTTTTTTTTTAATTTATATATATATGTATTTATTATTATTTTTTAAACTCCCCTTAGCAGGAACTGTTATAGGGTCCTCAATCATCTGAAATGGGAGATGGCCTCAAACTGGAATACCAACTCTGTGCTGCTGCCCACATTTGGGACAGTTTCTGACTTGACAAAAATGTCATGTTTCCTGCTCTCTCTGTGATAGCCAGAATGTGAAACATAAAAATCAGATGCTGTAATCCAGGGAGGAAAAAAAAAAGAGGAGGGAGGTGTTCAAATCTAGGCACAGTCAGGATCTCAATTTTACATCTCAGGTCTACTGAGAACTGTGATATGGTACTTGATCCTTAATTCCATGAAGTACTTCAATTCTCTCTGTCTTCAGCTGGAACTTAAAGTGCTCAGAACACAACATTCACCTTGAGATGAACAGTATGCCTTCACCCCAAGGGGAATGCTGCAGTAAGCTTTTAGATCACTATTGCTTTTGTATGGATTCAATTTATGAAATGATGATCATTCCACAAGAGAAAATATCCGGGTGAGACTTACACTTTTAATTGGAAAGGATTAAATTGTGATCTGCTTAATATTTCATATTTAGCTTAATGTCTTCAAGACTTTAAGAACTCATGCCAAGTATGCTTACAGATCATCTTCTGTAGCTGTCAATCCGAAAAGCAGACAACTGTGAGATTACACTACCATTAAAGGCAATATAAGGGAGCAGAAACGTTCCTCTCATACTGTTATCTATCTTGTCTACTATAGCAGTATTTCAGTATATGCATGTTGTATTTCAAAACATACTCATATAATATTTCAATATATATATATATATCCTTAAGTATCACACTTTCATTACATTATACACATTTTTTATGTGTACATTTGTGTTTGTTTTGCAAATAATGTAAGTTACTAAATGAAGCCCAAATTAATTTCAGGCATTCTTAAGGCTGGGTTTTTGTTTTTGTTTTGGTTGGGTTTGGGTTTGTGCGTGTGTGTGTGAATTTTATGCCTATTTCTGGGGGAAAAACAGTCTTGATCAGCTCTTTCATGGAGAAATGCAGTAATTCATTTTTCTTAAATACAGTGATTCAGAAATGTTGCTAAGGATTAACTTTAAAACCACTTAAGTTTTGGCATTCTTTGTGGTACTTTCTCTACGTTTAGGACAAGCTAATAGAGAGATAGAGACCCTTGCACTTTCCCTGCTTTCCACCACCCCATTAAGCTATTGCTCACAACAGTGAAACTGCACACTTTGGTTAACACACAGAAAAGTTCATGTTTATGTAAATGCGAAAGTTAAGGTGTTTCCTGAAAGAATGGAGGGAAATCCTTAACTTGAAATGTCTTCTATCAGTAGCTACTCAGAAAGTGCTTCAGGCACTGCATAAACATCTGTCATTTCAGATGACTCCCTATTTCTTTTTTACATTTTACAGAGATCAATATAAAAAAATATATTTTTTTCAATGTCTTTCTTCATGTTTGGAAAAATCATAAGCCTTTTCTGCATCCAAAAATTTCCAAACATTATGAGCACTACAACACTGTGCAGCTAACTGGCTATATGTTTGTTGTACCTGTACAATCTCATAAAACTTTATTGATTATTGTCACTCACATTTTAAAAATATGTTTAAAGTTTTGTTATTTTTCTGTAGTGAATGTCATAAATATTTTAAAATGTTATTTTAAAATACATTTTATATTTTTAATGAATTTTAAACTTACATTAAGAAAATGTAGAAGCAATTAAGATTAGTAAATATAAATGGGTTCATATGTTAATTCAAAATATGTGAGCTAGAGCATTTGTATCAAGCTTGAAAAAATAACAACTAAATGTCTGAGATATCGGGGTGCTGCAGTATACTTTCACAGAATCACAGAATTTCAAGGTTAGAAGAGACCTCAAGACCATTGAGTCCTACCTCTGACCTAACACTAACAGTCCCCACTAAACCATATCCCTAAGCTCTACATCTAAACACCTTTTAAAGACTTCCAGGGATGGTGACTCCACCACTTCCCTGGGCAGCCTGTTCCAATGTCTAACAACCCTTTCGGTAAAGAAGTTCTTCCTAACATCTAACCTAAAACTCCCCTGGCGCAACTTAAGCCCATTCCCCCTCGTCCTGTCACCAGGCACGTGGGAGAACAGGCCAACCCCCACCTCGCTACAGCCTTCTTTAAGGTACCTGTAGAGAGCAGTAAGGTCGCCCCTGAGCCTCCTTTTCTCCAGGCTGAACAAGCCCAGCTCCCTCAGCCGCTCCTCGTAGGACTTGTTCTCCAGACCCCTCACCAGCTTTGTCGCCCTTCTCTGGACTCGCTCGAGCACCTCCATGTATGTCCTTCGTGTAGCGAGGGGCCCAAAACTGAACATAGTACTCAAGGTGTGGCCTCACCAGAGCTGAGTACAGGGGGACGATCACCTCCCTAGCCATGCTGGCCACACTGTTTCTTATGCAATCCAGGATGCTGTTGGCCTTCTTGGCCACCTCAGCACACTGCTGGCTCATATTCAGCTGACTATCAACCATCACTCCCAGGTCCTTCTCTGCCTGGCAGCTCTCCAACCACTCATCTCCCAGCCTGTAGCTCTGCTTGGGGTTATTGCGCCCCAGGTGCAGGACCTGGCACTTGACCTTGTTGAACTTCATGCAGTTGACCTCAGCCCATTGGTCCAGCCTATGCAGATCCTCCTGCAGAGCCTTCCTACCCTCAAGCAGATCGACACATGCACCTAACTTGGTGTCATCTGCAAACTTACTGAGGGGGCCCTCAATGCCCTCATCCAGATCACTGATGAAGATATTAAAGAGGACTGGCCCCTGTACTGAGCCCTGGGGGACTCCAGTAGTGACCGGCCTCCAGCTGGATTTGACTCAATTCACCACGACTCTTTGGGCCCAGCTATCCAGCCAGTTTTTAACCCAGAGAAACATACGCCAGTCCAAGCCAAGAGCAGCCAGTTTCTTGAGGAGAATGTTGTGGGACATGGTGTCAAAAGCCTTACTGAAGTCAAGGTAGACCACATCCACAGCCTTTCCCTCATTCACCCAGCATGTCACTTTGTCATAGGAGATCAGGTTCGTCAAGCAGGACCTGCCTTTCATAAACCCATGCTGACTGGGCCTGATCGCCTGCTTGCCCTGTAAGTGTTGCGTGATCACTCTCAAGATAATCTGCTCCATGAGCTTCCCTGGCACTGAGGTCAAACTGACAGGCCTGTAGTTCCCCGGGTCTGCCCTCCGGCCCTTCTTGTAGATGGGCGTCACGTTTGCTAGCTGCCAGTCAACTGGGACCTCCCCCGATAGCCAGGACTGCTGATAAATCATGGATAGTGGCTTGGCCAGCTCCTCTGACAGTTCTCTCAGTACCCTTGGGTGGATCCTGTCCAGCCCCATCGACTTGCGCACATCTGCGTGCCGTAGCAGGTCGCCAACCATTTCCTCATGGATAGTGAAGGCCACATCCTGCTCTCCATCCCCTTCCACCAGCTCAGGGTACTGGGTATCCAGAGAACAACCAGTATTGCCGCTAAAGACTGAGGCGAAGAAGGCATTGAGCACCTCCGCCTTTTCCTTGTCTTTTGTAACTAGGTTTCCCCCGGCATCCAGTAAAGGTTGTAGATTCTCCTTAGTCCTCCTTTTTGTGTTGGTGTATTTATAAAAAGATTTTTTGTTGTCTTTAATAGTAGTAGCCAGATTGAGCTCCAGATGAGCTTTGGCCTTTCTAATTTTGTCCCTGCACAGCCTCGCAACATCCTTATGGTCCTCTCTAGTGGCCTGCCCTCTTTTCCAAAGATTATAAACCCTCTTTTTTCTCCTAAGCTCAAGCCACAATTCTCTGTTCAGCCAGGCTGGTCTTCTTCCCCGCTGGCTTATCTTTGGGCATGGTGGGGGCAGACCATTCCTGCACCATTAATATTTCCCTCTTGAAGAGCGCCCAGCCTTCCTGGACTCCTCTGCCCTTCAGAACTGCCTCTCAAGTGACTCTACCAACCAGTGTCCTGAGCAGCCCAAAGTCAGCCCTCCGGAAGTCCAATACAGTGGTTTTACTGGTCCCCTTCCTGGCCGCGCCAAGAATAGAGTGACCATTTCACGGTCACTCTGCCCAAGACAGCTCCTGAGAACCACATCCTCCACCAGTCCTTCTCTGTTTGTGAAGAGAAGGTCTAGCGGGGCGCCACCCATGGTAGGCTCACTAACCAGCTGTGTCAGGAAGCTATCTTCCACGCTCTCCAGGAACCTCCTAGACTGCCTTCTCTGGGCTGTGTTGTGCTTCCAGGATATGTCAGGGAAGTTGAAGTCCCCTACAAGAACAAGTGCCGATGATTTCGCAACTTTTGTCAGCTGACTGTAGAACTCCTCATCAGTCTACTCATCCTGGTTCGGCAGTCTATAACAGACCCTGACCAGGACATTAGCCTTTGATTTACTTAATTGTTTCAAATAATTTACTTAGTTTTATTCTCAGCCTTTTGTTTGTTTTAAAGTTTCTACTTCAAATTTAAGAAAGATATCTGCTAAAATTACATCTTTTTTTTTTTTCTTTTTTTTTTTTTTTTCCCCTGTACTGATTGTTTCTATTAAAGATGTTATCTTTTATTACAACTATGCTAATACCTTCATGCTCTTGTGATTGCACTGGCAGCATCAGCACAACAGAATATTCAGTTAAGTTATTCCAAATCAGAAATGCAAATTCCTTTTGCTCAATCTTGAATTTTGTCACAAATGTTTGTGCCTATACAGAAATCAAGACCAACATCTGGTGTGCAGTGTTTTTTTTCCACCTCCTGTTTTCCAGTCAGCTTCATGGGACAGGTCAGAAGTAGAGTACTACATAATGAGGCTGAGATTGTAAGAATACATTTAAATATAATGCTGAAAACTTTCTGTGATGTGATTTAGCTCTTTAAAGATGACAGTGTAACTGATGAAGAAACAAAGACCAGGTCTTCAAAATATATTACGTATCAGTCTGTGACAATATTTGTTCACCTAAGATTGGTATGATGCTACTGTTGACACAGAAATATATTGTATGCAGACATACTCACAAACTATAGAATCAATTCAGTATATGTTGACTTAGCCTGGAAAAAAAGTCATTTCCAGACAACCAAAGAGTGTTCTTGAAATCTCTGTAAGCAATTTATAAAATTATTTACCTTGCTCAGCTGTTAGTAGTGGATTCATTGTTTTATCTGAGGCAGAATATAATAGCTTCAAAGGCAGCAAAGCCTCTCTGGAAGTATAAAGGACACATTCAGCCTGGATGCAGTGTAATACAATTTTTATGGACTCCTTAGGTAGTAAAAGCTATGAGTGAGGACTCTGTTGTCTGTCTTCTCATTCTCTTCTATTTCTTCAGTGCATTGTTTACAATGGAGTCCAAGAGGTAATGGTGATTTCTGTTTCTGGAATGTGCTATTCGATGGTTTTTCTTTGATGTACCATGCTTAAGAATAGTGTGTACTTGTTTGCAGATATACTCTTCACAGTTTCTTTGAATCTCTTCAGCAGATGGAGTAATTTAAAAGGACTATGGGACTCTAGGACATGTGGAGGAAGATTTTCAGTCAGTCCTTTAGGACTTGGAGAATATAAGAGAGATTAATGAGATGCTGTTAAGATATTGAGTAAGCAAGACATAACTGCTGAATGTTACTGAAATAATAACCAGGCTTCTGGGAGTAAAAAGGCCTTTTCCAGCGTTTGGGGCAGGTGGGGTTTGGGAAAAAGTGAAAGTTGGTGCTTGAGCTTTATGAATTAATGTACCTTTTTGCATTTCTTATCAAATTTGAGGGAAGAGATGTAGCATACCTGTCTTTGTGCTGCTGTAGTCACTGTATTCCTGTGACCTCTCCAATGAAGAGTTCTGTGCAAAAAGTGCATCTGGGGTAGAAGAGACCTCTTCCATTCACCTTATCCACTAGCTGTGTTTTGGAGACTAGCTCCAGGAGCTGTGGTAGTCTTTACCATCAACATCCCTTTGCTTGCCTACAAAAGTAGAGCCATTTTCTACCTCACAAGAAAACCGGTAAGTTGGGATTTCGGTAACTGTGAGAATTAATGACTAGAGTCTGTAAACTGTCCTGAGAGTTTAACTGACTGGCAGCATGCTCCAAACAAAAAGTCTTATAAATTGTTTAGGAAGTGCAAGTTATGGGGAGTATCTCATATTTTCACATGGTGAGTATTCTGTATTTTCATTGTCATTATTACCGAGAAACTGTGAGGTTCCCTCTATAATAAGGAGAGCCTGGAGGGCACCTATTATGTGTGACAAAGCAGAGATCTTTCTGTTCATTCATAGCACATTTCCTTGTCAGCAGGATTGTTTTTAACAACATTGCCTTGAAAGAGAGAATAACAACACCAAGAAGCTTTGTAAGCCCTCTCTGGAAATCTGTGGAATTTGTTTGTTTAGAACATCTGTAATTGTTCATACATTTTGTTTCAGATTGAGGATCATGAAGCCCTGTGTCTGAGAAAATAATCAGTATCTTATCTAAATTAAAATCTAAATTAAATCTATGTGCCTTGTGATTCGACCTTTTCTCTTCTGTGTTTGTTTTATTGTTGGGCTGAATTCACTCTTGTTTCAAAGAAGGTGCAGGAACATTTAAATCTCCAACAGATATCCCATTCAAAGGAAAAATCAGAAGAAATAGGAAGAGCAGCCTGGGAGATCACGTTAGCCTACTCTTGTCATTTTTCTTTCTTTTTACTTGAGATGTGACATGACAGGAATACTGGGTACTACTACTGCTGTAGGTTTTTCACTGGCTGAGTAAAATAGGTAGATGCTTCCTACATTTGCCAAGCTATTTAATTTAAATGTTTCTATATAATGGTAGTCATCACCTGGGAGACTAAACATGACTTTCCTTTTTATCTGGCATCTGCCTTTCAAACTGGCTCAGTAAAGTACTATTTGAACATGGGCATTTCTGAAGGGAAAAAAAAAAAAAAAAGTGGTAAACACCATCTGTCTTCCAAACTATAGAAACAGTTTAACAAAATAAATGTAAAAGAAAAACATTGTCAGTAACTCTTGTATCCAAAGTAAAGAGGCTGGGGGTATTTACAGGACTCTGACAGGGTCTATGGGTAGGTTGCACTGTTCTCAGGTCAGAAATGACAGGCACCTCCACTCCCTCATGCTGGCCTAGGATCTGTTTGTTCCTCAAGAGCTCAGCTCCCACCAGTCGGGCATGGAGGGGCCCTTCAGGCAGCTGTTGCCCTTTCAGAGTATGTATTTCTGCTTTTGGAATTCAAAGCTCAGCATTCACTGAAATACAAACAGCCCTGGATTGTTCCTGCCTTTCTCCATCTATCCTTGCATATCTCTTTGGAAAAACATTATGAAAAATCCACGCCTAGCAGGGAACATATTTGTATTTACTTTATAGTCAGGAGTAGGTTATGTTAAAGATTATTTAACACTAACCAGAAGCAGAATGCTATAGTATGTCTAATTAAAATAAAGTGTACCAGCTTCAGTTAGTTCAAAGGCAGAAATTATTTTAATATTCCGTATGTCACAGTATTTAATGCAAAAATGTACTGTTGCTGCTAACTTTGTTTTGATCTACTATTCTTCCTATTGCAAATGAATGTTTAGGAGCCTGCATTTTTTTTTTTTTTTTATATATATATTTTTTTCCTGGACTACGTGGGAATAATCTAGTAATTGTACTATGGAGTTCACCATAAAACCTATAGTCAGCAGTTGAGCATTGGCTCATAACTTTTTAAGAGCCTTTTTCATGCTGTGTTGATGTATAAATACAATTCATATTTTCCAGTTTATAGTGAGCCAGGGGGTGGTGTTGGAGATGGAATTCAGAATACATTGTGGTATTTAAAATAGAACATGAAGTAGGTATAATAGTTTCAGGGAAACACAGAAAATATGATGGCACGTATTCTTCAGGCGCAACACTGTGCTGGATCTGACTGGAATGGAGTTAACTTTCCTCGCAGTAGCTCGTATGGAGTAGCTCGTGTGTTTTGGATTTGTGTAAAACAGACCTGGTAGCACACTGGCTACTGCTGAATAGGTCTTGCAGAGCAGCAAGAATTTCTCTTTCTTTCCCTCTGTTCTCACCAGTGGGTAGGCTGGGGTGAGCAAGGTGTTGGGAGGGAACACAGCTAGGACAGCTGACCTGAACTGGCCAAAGGTATATCCCATATCATATAATATTGTGCTCAGCAACAAAAACTGTAGGTGTGTGTTGTTGTTTTCCTTGTCAAGGGAACTTGCTCAGAGACTGACTGGGTATCAGTCTTTTTATGGGAGATGGTGACCGATTGCCTTTACATCACTTTTTTCCCCTTCCTTCTTTTGCTTATTAAGCTGCATTTATTGTGGCCTATCAGTTTTCTCACTTTTGCTCTACCTATTCCCTCCTCTGTGGTGGAGGGGAGTGAGCAGCAGTGTGGGTACTTAAACGCTGGCCAGGAGCAGCCCACTGCAGCTGCAAAGACTCTCTAGTATGCTCTACAAAGGTGGTTAGAAATGTGATTGTGAGGGATGTATGTGGCACTTACATGCATTAGTTTTAGAGAGAAGGCCAGGAAATATTTGAATAATTATGAATCATTCCCTTTTAAAACAAATAAGAATGAACACTGCTGGAAAACCTAGCTGTTTATGGAGAATTAGTTGTCTATGAATCATGTACTGAGTAAGAAGAACTTCAATATGTTACACTGAGACAAACTTACTGTTAGTACAGCTATGTTCATCTGTGTTGTATGGGTGAAAACACATCAGATGTATTTTACTACTTTTTGCTCTTTCACAGTGAAAGTGAGATTTTTCTATAGGGTTACTGTTATATTATTTTCTTAGATAAATTAACAGTGCATAGTTTCTTAAGAAGATTTACTGTGGGAGAAACTAATTGGGAGTCTTCCAGGAGCTTGTTACCCATCAAATACGCAGTTTTAAAGATCAACAGCTTGAGTAACTGGTAAGTTTATTTAATTTACTCTTTGCATAAAAAATTGTGTTACAATTATACTTACAATTTTTAGTAGATATTCTTTCATTTTCATGTGGTATTATAAAACATCTAAGGGGTAGTGGGAATGTAATACTTCAGACAAACAGTGTGGTCACCGTGTTCGTTAATTGCCCAACTATTACTTCATGCTTTCAGACCAGTATCATTGTTTCAAAAAGTAGATAGGGAGAGGTTTCAAAGAGAACTGAGTCAAACCCAGAAATCATATATATTAAAATTTGTCTTGAATTGACCTTGTAAAACAGAGTTGCCCCTTTCTCTGAATTTCAGCAATTATTGTTTCATTGATAGGAAAGACCTATGGAAGCAATTATGCCACAGTTATAGACTTATCTTTCAAGTCTTACAAAATTCAGATTTTGAAATATTTTTTTTTCAAATAAATATCTATACTCTCCTAAGAGTTCTCAATAGAGTTTAAGTGTTGGCCATTGTCCTTTCCTGGTGTTTTTTTTTTTTTTTTTTTTTTTTTTTTTTTTGTGTGTGTGTGTGTGGTTGTTTTTTTTTTCATTGCAAGAAGGAGTTGCTCAAAGTATTATATTTTATGAATGAAAAAAATGCTTAAGTTAATATTCTGTGATTTTTGTCTGATTTGACTAGCCAAGTCTATTCAGCGTAATAAGTAAGTCTACAGTTATTCATGTTCAAGTTCACTTTAAATTTCTAAAATGATGAAACCCAACAGTCTGTAAGAATAAGCTGTCATGAATTTGGCAAACTTCATGGTTGCAGAAGTACTGAATTCCCTCTTGGTGGCAGAGTCAGAACTGTGACTGAGAATTGCATTATGTTTTCTTATAAGGATACATTCCAATGGAAGCATTATCTGGGAGACCCTCTTGTTACACAAACACAAATTCTAACCTGCCGTAATACTACAATGTGAACAGTTGGCTGAGGTTGAAGTATTTACTGAATGAATAGTTTATGTTAACCTACTGCTTTGCTCAGCAGAGTTCTTCATATATTACTGCACACGTAAAAGAGAGATGCAACCTTACTTCCTCACTACCAGCCTTATAAAAATGCTGTTCTCTCTCAGGCTTCCCTCAGATAAGACCTTCTCCCTCTGTGGTATTTATGACTGCTAATCTGAAAGCATGAATTTCAGAGATGGGACTCTACATTTCATTGTTATTATTATTATTATTATTATTATTGCCATGGTGTACAGTCTAATTTCCTTTTTCATTTATATTTTCTGAAAGAACATCCATATGAAATTTGTTATGATGTTTAGTTTGTTTACTGTGGTCAAAAGTAATTTCAGTGCAAACAACACAGCCTAGAATTTACTTTCCACTTCCAATGTTACTGGCATATTAGCATTAGATCTAGTTAATAATATAGGTGAAATTATAGGAAATTGCAGTGTGTCTGCTAACTGTGCCAACAAAGTTATAAAAACTCAAAAATAGCATTCCAAAAATCCTGTTTTCAATGTCAGTGAGTATGAGGCCTATGAGTTATGAACAGCACAACATAGACAATGAAAACTGGCTAAAAGGAGTTCCTGTATGTTCTTTGGTAAATTTAAGATGTTAGTGTATCACTTTTTACTTTTTGCAGCAACAATTATCAGTTCTATCTTAGGTTACAAATTAATACCCTCTGATGAACTGCCAGTCTGGAACAACTTATGCTTTTGCTGATTAATATACAATGCCTATTTCTGTTTTTAGATTGGGCTATGCTTTCAAAGCCACCTTTGAGCTGTGAGCTGTTCTAAGTACCTTACATAATGTATATGAGAGAGATAATGTCTCTCTCTCTCTCTCTCTTTTTTTTTTTTTTTTTTTTTTTTTTTTTTCCATCTAGGATATAAACACTCTGCTCTCTTCATCCAAGAGGACACTGGTACAGCCAGAATGCACAATGACACTGGTTGAGAAACACATGGAGGGTAGTCTAAACAAAAATTAAATATTCTTGCATCCTCCAGGGAGAAAATTTTTCAGTGTATCCCATATGTAACAATGTGGTTGTGTATGTATATTTATTAATTCCTCAAAAATGTACATAATATATATTTACTATAAAAATTTTGAGTCAACCATTTTTTTTTATGGACCAGCATAAACTGCATTGTGGGATATATATTGGACATTTTGGTGTATGCCATGCTTTGTGCAGTTGATAAGCAAACGTCTTAGAAGCATATGGAATTTGGCTGATTAACACAAGAAACACGTTAAATAGCCAGTAACAGATGTGGTTATTTGACAAAATTGACAATTCATTGACATAAGTACATTATTTTTGAGAAGGAAATCTTAAAGTTTTCAATTACCGTTCCACTGGAGCTTACTCAAAACTGCCAAAATGTTGCTCTAAAACCCATGAAATGGAAACTTAGAAATTTAGAGTTTAAAATTCTTCCTTGAATAATAGGATTGCCCCAGGGACTCCATCACCTGTGCTCTGTTCTTAGGTGGCTTTTAATGACTCTGTTGACTTCCGTGAAGACTTCCATCAAAAGGAAAACATTGTTTTCTTCCTGAAGAGGTAGGTGAGATGTAGTAATGACAGACAGCTTACCATCTAAAGATGCATCTAAAGTGCATAGGAGAAGAGCAGAAATCACTTGAGAAACAGAAAGGGATGTTATCCATTCTTGGGAACATTGCAAGTTCTGATTTCCTGAGGGCAGAGCAAGTTTCCTTGAGCTCTTAGCATGAGCTACTCTGGTAGTGAGAAGATAAGTTTCTCACATCTGCTCACATTGGTAAGCAGTTACTCTTATGTGCAAAAATTAGTTATAACATGTGAAGGAATTAAAAGCTTGCTGTAAGTGAGCATATGTTTTTAAAATACTGTAAATCGAATCTTCATTATTTCAAATTGTGTTAAGAGATTGTGTATTTGAGGAAAAAAATAAAAATAAACTTGTCCACTAACTGGTGTAATGTAACTGAACAACAACTCTGAACAACAACTGAAGGGCACTGCATATATCAGAACATGATGCCTATGTAGGATGCTCAGCTGCATTTTGAAATGTTGCCTCTTTGAAGTGTCCTGCTCCTTCATTAACAGCTGTATTACACTTGAGAAGGGCTGATGATAAAAAGATTTCCTGGCAAGCAGCTTCTTCTGTTAAGTGGGGAATGTGATGTGTTTGGCATATATAATTTAGCTAATTTGTACAAGAATCACATTGCTTAATCAGCTGTAGATTTGGTTATTGCGTGATAAAGATGGCAATCCATTAATCAATTTATAGGCATAAATACATTATTGTTCAATAAAAAAAAAACAAAAACAAACAAAAAAAAACCCACAAAGATTTAAAGATCCTTGAATCAATAAATATAATTAAAACAATGGCATGTTGCATTCATTTATTTGATTGTCCTACAGCTGTCTGAAGCGTGGTGAGATCACTGAAGCATGGAGCCAAACAGCCAACACTATATTTAGTTTCATTTATTGAAATAATGAAAGGGTGTTAATGATAAAGTACAAAAGTGTGTAATAGAAATTAATGTACTGTGAAATAAAATTATGTTTGGAAATCAAGAAGAGTACAGTAAAAGTTAAAGCCTTAAATGTATTTGGAAACCACTTTGTATTGTTTTAATAGAAGAATGGTTTCTTTATGCAAATTATGAAAAAATATAGGAATGTATTCTAGACATATGAGTAAGATGAAATCAAATCACCTTGTGAAAAAGAAACTACCATCCTTAAGCTAATTTCTTGCAAACCAAGAAATGGGGAAAAAAAAAAAAAAAAAGGTATGAAAATGACTATGTTAAATGACTATGTTATCTAATTCTTGACTTAGATTTAAATTTTCAGTCATTTAATCAATATCTATTTTCTTTATTTCAGGAAGACCATGCCAGTGATTGTTAATCTCTATTTGGAGAACATGCATAGGACACACATGTGCATATGGATATGATTCCAGTTTGAGAACCCTCATGGATTACCATTTAAACAAAAAAGTCCTAAGTGAACATACTGAGTGATAAGCATGACTAATTTAGAAGCACAAATTGTCACACCGTTTCTGTTTCAAATAAGAGAAATAAGCAAGTAAGATTTGAAAGAAACCGTAAATCTAGTAAAAATGTAAAGATACTTAATTACTGTCTGTTAAAACAATTAGCATTTGCTTAAAGACATTGTTCTTAAAAGACATTTTCTTTTTACCATTTTATGTTTCAGTAGAATTAGCAAGCAAGAAAAACTGCATCTGGTTTGTGCACAATGTCCTAGCAAAAATGCAGCATGAATAAGCACCATTTGCTATCTTTATACATGCAGCACTTAAAACTTGCAAATATTTTAGATAACACCAAAAATTCTAGATTTGGTGATCATTATCTTCAAAACAAAAAATATATTTTGGCAGGGATCTTTGAGAAAGATTGAAGGTAAAGTTATATTCATTGGCTCTGACTTGTTATTTGCATTTCAAAAGACTTTTTGATTTTCTTTACCATATTTTTTTTCTAAGCCACCTCCTGGAAGGAAGGAAGGAATGAGTGATTAAGACATTGGCCTGGAGTTGAGGGACCTCAGAACTACCGTATGAATACTTCCTGTATAACACTGGAGTTATTACTTCTTTTCTGTGGCTTTTTTTCAGATCATTTGCTATGAAGTCAACTTATGTCATGACAACCGTGTTCTCTAAAGTCAAAGGAGTGAGAAGCGATTTAAACCATCTATTATCTAAGAATGCCTGGCAGCCTATGCGGTCAATAGACTCGTTGCTCACGGTGAGTCATACACTAATTTGTATGACAATATCCATTTTTCTAACAGAGGGAAGAACAGTTGGGTCTTACAAAAATTATTTAATGAGTAAATAGAATGAGGCCATAGTAGCATTAGAACATTATGAGTAAAAAAGAAGGCAATACATTTTCTGTGCACAAGGCAGGAAAGAGGTAGTATAGATGGAGCAAATGATATAAAATGAATCCAGAAAAGTAAAATAATGGGGTGTGTATACTTTGATCTTACTGAATCTTTTGACCATCAAAGGCTTGTATACGCTAAGGAAAGCGTATTTTCAAAGTATTTCCATTGTTATCTCCTGAGGCTTGTTTCACTACAAAAGCATACTGAAAAGAAGACATAGCTTCCATGAGAGGAGGAAGCATGAACCTGTGTTGGAAGTGGACACTGTGTTATGGCACAATGGAGCTGGGTCTGTTTGTGTCTTGAATCAGGCACTTCTGAGTGAAGTCCATTTAGCTGACTGCCTGAGACTGGGAGAGAAAAGAAGGTGAAATAAGTATCTGGAAACACAAAATCCAGAATTATTTATTGTTGGGTCTTTGAAAATGCAAGCATTCCTTTTGGAAGAAAGAATAAATAAGCATAAAAAATCTTTCACTCTTCCTGTTTATATGAGATACATTTTTATTTTCTTCTGCTGTTTGTATCACAGTATAAACAAACGTAGACAGTGATGCTGTCTGTTTTCTAAAGAAATTTTAATCCAAATAAAACCAGAAGCAGCAAATAGCAGTAAACAGCAAACAAAGGGAAACAAAGGAAGTGTGTAGGCTTTGAGAAGAAAAACAGCTTATACAGTGCATTAGATGAGTATTATTATGGCTCCTAACTACATGTAATGTAATTTCCCATAGTTTTATATCAATAAAGAAGGCACATTGACAAAATTTTAAGGAATACATATAAGCTTGAGGTACTCAGATGTTAAAGGATAATTACTCAATAAATGCTGAAACAGAACAAAAGAAAAACTAGGAACACAAAGAAAAGAATAGCAAGCCCCAGTCTGAACAGTTCAGTAGAGCTGTTTTCTGTTTGGATATCTGGTATTTGTTTTCTCACAGGTTTAGATCTGTACCACACTCATCATTGATTTCCAATCTTAAGGCATCTCAGTATTTACAGCAGTGCAGCTTCCCAGGCAAGATCAAGCTACAGCTTTTCTACTATCTAGCCATGATTTTTACAGTCCTTTCTTTATCAGCAACACTTTCTAGACAGGTCTATAGTAGCTCCTGGCACTTGGTCATAACTTGCACATTGACGATTTCAATTCACTAACTAAATAATCATTGAAGTAAAAAGCACTAATTTAATTGACACTAAACTTCAAAGTCTGATTCCACCCTTCTGACTACAATGCTCTCTGAGTGCTGATTTTAGTTGTACAGCATTACTGAATTTTGACATGGATTGTATGGTCTCATTCAGGATTGGAGTGATGGGTTTTACATATAATATAACTGAGTTCATATTTGAATTGTGAAATTAATACTGGGGAAATGGAAAATGCTTCAGTTCTCTGAGCTATAGGCCCACTTGCTGTCAGTACCACAATTGATGGTGCTGTCAGCAGGATAGCACTGAGATAGTCTTTAGCAGCTTCTCAGGAAGTCCAATTTAATTAAAAGCTTATCTCTTAATACAACATCGAGCTTCTATATGACAAAGAAGTGTTTCCCACGATGTTAGTTTTCATGGCATCACACCATGCAGCATGTTGACTTCTCTCTCCATCACAGTAGAGGAAATTACTGTTTTGCCTTTGTTTTCCCTGCTGCTGGAAGAATGCTGGATTTGTGAGCATTTTTGTTTTCTTTTCTACATGCTTTCCAAGATAACCAGACCATGAAAATCTGAGAAATAACTTGAAATGAGGCTTATTAAACTTGCATAAATCTGATTTTTATGGAGCCTGCACCGTGACTTTCACTTATTGAAAGTAACAGTAAGAAGCTAATGGGAACTTGCAGGCAGATTAGCAGGCTCTTGCTGCAGTATGTTTTAGACTTTATGTCCAAGAAAGACTCTGGCTCTTAAGTTGGTTAAGTGCTCTGATTGTAGCTTTCATTTTCAAGAAGTAGGAAAATGGCATGTATAGCTCCTAGGAGCTTCAATATGTCAGAATCTAATTATTCCCTAGAAGAGTAACTCATCTGCTTTTGGAGGACTTTAGTAACAGGAAAACCCAGACACTAGTTCTGAATGTTTCCAACTGCCTAAAAGACAAGGAATCCTTTCAGACTGCAGTTTGGCATTGGCAAATTTTGAAAATTACTTGTGGGAGAGAATTGAAATGTGTATCACGTGTATTTTATATATATATATATAACTTCTCTGCATTTATAGATTCTACCTTTAAATGTATCTATTTCCCACAAACGTCATGTGTACATCATGAAGGTACTTCATGAATATACATCACGGTATATTCTGTCCATTCTGTTCGTTGGGCCAAAGTAATTTTATATTTGTACCTTTCTTAATTTCTGAAAGCTTTTAATTAAATCCAGCAAATTTGTTTAAATTGTTCATCTTAAGTTTATATTCAGTATTATTTTGTTGAATATTTTAATAGAAAAACAGACGATCAGTGTTTTGTTCTATTAACAAACAAAATATTGGCCAAATCCAGTTCATTAGTGTGTTGATAACTTACACCTTGCAGACAAGTGGAGTTTCTGTTCCAGCCCAAGGAGTCTGATGAAATTACTTTTTAATCCTATAGCCTACTTCATATTCATGGAGGTGATTTAAGAGGAATGAGGGGAGAGTCTGCACAGAGTTTTAGAACAGTTTGGATGCAAACTGAAGTTTCTATGCAATAAGAAACATTCCTGAGCTGTGTTATGTTGATGTTCATCTTGAAACCTACAAATTCTACTTTTTGGGACCTTGGGATTTAATTTGGGCTATTCTGGAGAAAGAAGACTGACACAAAAAATTAATCTAATCAGAGGCTGGTTTTTTCCCTACCATTGGCCCCGAGCCAAGGTTGATCTTATTTCACTGCCATTTCTTATTAAATATTCTGAGGGCAAAGAGCAGGTTTTTCTTGGCAAAGGAGTAACATTTTTATCATTATGAAAATATTTACAACAACTCAAACTACCTGGGACTTTTTGTTACTTTCACATTAAACTTGTCATGGTATAGGTGGCTGTGGAGGATGTAACTAGTGAGAAGTAACGTCTCTGGTGGGGTGTTTAGAACTCACCAAGAAGACAGGTCACACAAATAGAAGAGAACAGAAACATCCATGCAAGTGATATCTGAAAGAGTAACATAACCTCTCAATATGTTAAAAAAAGATCCTAGTTTATGTTCCACATACAATATTTGTGGCTGTTAAATCAGTACCTTCTGCTTATTTTTTCCCAGGGCTCTGAAATTCTTGTTTATCACTGCTTTCCAAAATACTCACTCACTGACTGTGTATGTATGGCTGACTTTTTTATTTTTAAGTTATACTAAATGGTTGTTACCAAAGACTAGCTGATCTGTGTCTTTCCCAACATTTTCAGTGCTTACCAGTCTCTCAGTAGCAAATCCCTGAAGTCTAATGCCATCTACAGTTCTTCAACAGTAACATTTTAATGTTGACTTCCAAATAATTATCAAATGTTTAGGATAATATAGGTGCATGAATTGTTTGGTAGAGGCTACTACTAGTATAATGGCCTGCCATAGGTTTCTAGCACCACCACAGATGCAGGGTATCTGAAATGGCAGCTGTGAGACAGGATCTAGTGGGGTCTGAACTCTTGTAGGTTGTTAGCTGAGCCAGTGGTTGAATCCCTCCCAAAACCCAGGTACAGGACAGGAATCCTGCTGGTGTATTGTGGGGCCTACTTGTGCTCATGCATTTCCTTCAGTACCTAATTATCCTTCTTCCATCCCTTCAATTCTTCTATGGCTTTGGTGAAGCCAAGTGATCCAGATAGTGATTCCATTATTGCTATCTGCCACAGGAATTAATATTTGTCCTTGTCTTTTTTTTTTTTTTTTTTTTTTTTTTTTTTTTTTTTTTTTCCCATGCCTTTGTGCCAACTTTAAATATAATGACATACTGGCATTTAATATATGAAGGTAGGTTATACTGGAAAAAAATCAAAGTTAATTGTTTTTCCTTTATCTTTCATTGAAGTTTTCTTGCTTACCTTTTATTTCTAAATGACATTCAGAATATAAAACATGAGGAGTTTTGTACACCATGTGATATTGCTGAATATAATGATATGATTCAGGTGCAAATTGAGGTTCAAAATGAAGCAGAGTGCTCCCAGCATGTTAAGATAGTTTATGTCATTATTCAGCTTGGCTGTGCAGTCAAAAGTGTCTAAATGTGACTATAGGTAGAAAAAGAAAATACATTTAAAACACTGTCAAAAAAAGGCATTGAACAACCAAGAGTATGTTCATGTGTGCATCTTTCTCTGTACATGCATAGACACACAACGGTTGTCCATTGTTATGACAGTTTCTTGCTTATGAAACTAAAGTCCAAGGAAAATGCATTTTTTTACAATACATGTATTTTATTTCACTTCTCTGTATCATTTCTTTTGCTGTAGCTAACCAGCTACCAGTGCTTGCACACTACACAAGCCTTATTAGGTAGCTGATTTCCAGTTCTGTTGAGAGTAGTTGGGATTGTTGCATATTATCTTTGCAAAGTTATAGTACTGAGTCTAAAAGTAATATCACTGAAACACTGCCATTTCTATGAATTCTCATTAATTTTGCATTGATATTTGTATTTAAAAAATCTAACTCTTATGTTTGCTAATTTCTTTTGTCATAATTCTTGGTAACACACAAGAAAATTTATTCAGAAGAACATCTTCCAGCAATATTGCGTGTGCTTTATTCCCATTTTAGATACAGCATTATTCCTTTCTATGAGATGTAATGAGTTTTTGACAAGATTGCTTACTGCTTAAATATGTGGAAAAGGAACATGCAAGAAGGAATAATAGTAAAATTAGTAGCTAAAGCAAATTTCTTTGTCTTGTGGAAAAATAATGAATCTTTTCTCTGCTTATTCAACTGCTTAGTAGGATGAGAAAGCATACAGTTAGAAGTATAATAAATCAGTTTGCAATATAAAAATGTGATTGATTCTACTACTAAGTTAGGGTGTACAATATACCCTATAGTGCTGGTGCACTATACCTATGTCAACATACTATTATAAGAGGGAATTTCAACAATCTTTTAATAGCTTCCACATGGAAATGTCTATTCTGTGTAATTACATTAAAGAGAGGAAGTTAATAGTTATCTCAATTTTTTTAAAGATTATTATTTATTGACATGATAATAAGGAAGGTGGAAATTTTAGGTATGTAATATACTTGGGTAGGGAGTTTTTGTTTGTTTGTTTGTTTGTTTGTTTTGTTCTATTTTTTCAGAAATTGGGAGAAAGAAAGGATAGATTCTAGGAAGCCTTTAAATTTGCAGTATCATCTTTCTTTTTGCCTCCCACATGCCTGCAGATCATAAAATCTGTGACCAGGAAGGTCAATGTGTTTAAATATAATTCAAATCTACATCCAGGCCCACAGAAAATCTGCTCTACCAAAATTATCTGTACTCCATAGTACAATAGAAAGTTCTTGGTTTACTTTTAAGACAGATGACCTCATTCTTTTTGGAGTAATACATGCTTCTAATAAAAGAAAATACAGACTGAAGGGTAATGAAGAAGTGAGCTTCAGTGGGATCACATCTGACCAGCAGTCTGGCACTCCTCAGGTCCTTTTGCAGTGAGCTGTGTTAGGGAAATTCTCTCACACACCCAAGAATGTTTTCTATTGCAGAATTACCTTAATTTTTATTTATTTATTTATTTTTTAGTATTTCAATTATTGGTCCTTATGGAGGTGTTTTATTGAGTTGAATGCTATAAGCATGGCCCAAGTATTGAGTCTAAGAAAACTCAATTGCTTGTCTCTCCACCTCACATTAGACAGGTGAGCAGTGTGTGCTGGACTGCCCACAGCAGTTGTTCCTTCACATAAACACACAATAACACGTGTATATTTTATATATATTAGAAAACCTTATACTTCACATATTGCATAAAGTAGAGAGCAAGCTTTACATGTTGACTTTCTCTGCTTTTATGTGATAAAAGCTTGTCATTGTGTTCACAGTAGCAACAACTAACATAAACTAAAAATGAATTTTTCTTTTATCCCAGTTTTTATTGAGTTTCATCTTCCTGTTTGCTGCCTTGGGCTATTATTTTATACACCTGCACTCAGCCAGAAATATAATGAAAAAGAATCAATCTCTGAAGAGAAAGTTATCACCAGCCAATAACATTGGGCCACTTTCATGGGTCCTGCAGTGTTTCATCCAATTGCCAAAATGCTTTACCATTATAAACTGAAGATAGTAACTCAGCTGCTCTTCCTGGTAAGTACAAAATCATTGTATTACCCAGAAGATCTAGAATCAATAATAGAAGATCTAGAATTAATAATTATTAGTATTGTGGTATTCATTAGGACAGAATGAAAACACTGTAAGTTTATGTATCTAGAATAGACTGTCTAAAATATTGATGGACAGGAATAGCAGAAAAGCATTATTTCTGAGAAAATCGGTGAGTGCATTATTCTGTGTGCATTAACTTTGTGTGTGTTTGTGTGTTCAAAGCTGTTCATGCTCTGTGATTTTCTCACTTTAAAATTCAAATATTGCAGAAATTTATTGATAAGTAACAAACTTGCAAGGCATTCACTGAGCATATTTATGTTCCAGGTGTTTAGACAGCATGTACAAGTGTTCTGTTTGTGATTGGATGAGAATTGAGCTTGAAATCAGTTTCCTTGTGTTGCCATTCATAACTATTTTAAATGATCTGTAACTGTCCACATTAAATTCATTCATTTCAGCAAGTATTTCTGCTACTAAATTAATTTGCTTGAATGCAAATACATAGGTGGTATGGATACTTTAAAAGCAAGTATAATCATTTTGTTACTACATTGGGAAAGTATTTCTATCTTCCTGTGTTATGTATAAAATATAACATTGCTACTAGAATTGTGTTATTTCTATCTTCAGCCTACAGTAGATTTGGAATTGAGTCTGCTGAGTCATTGGTTCAACTGTTACCATTGATGTGTTTTTGGATACAGTAAAATGATTGATTCCATGTGTACTATAAATGAATCAAAATTAATCAAAACTGGACATTAATTTAGCATTTGAAGCAGTCCTGTCACAGAGCACTTGCTCTCAGGAGGGAAGATCTGATTGTTATTCTGCAGAAGAACTTGACAATCTGAAATAATGTTAAGAACATTATTTTCCTTCTCCTCCAAAAAAAAAAAAAAAAAAAAAAAAGGAAAAAAGCAATTGAAAAACATTTCAAAGTAGATTGTAAAATGCTTTTGGAATCTTTTCTTTGGTGAAGACTTTTTTCTGGAACTTAATTAACAAACAATTAAGACATGTTGGAAGTGTTATCTCAGATAGTGTTCGTTTCCACTGGGTCCAAGACAAATTTGTCTGTCAGCATGAGAATTAAACCTCACACCCCAAATTCTTCTAGTTTAACTTCAGCCAAGGCTGCTCACTGCACAGCTTCAGACAACTTGACAGGATGTCACCTTCCTTGGGAAAAAATATTCTGAGAATCTGCATGTATTAGAGAGAAGCTCAGATAATAAATATGTCCTATTAGAAGCATACATTTTAGTTTCAGCTAAAGGTTTCTAAATTCTTCAGAAATGGAGGGCTCATCTGAGTTAGTTATCAGATTTATTTGGACAGACAACAGTCTACAAGCACAGACAAAGTTTTAGACAGCTGGGCATTCAGATGTGGTTCTGCAGATGACTGAGGCATTTAGAGAGGACTTTTCACATGCTTAAATAGGAATTGAACGCCAGATTGACGTGTGGTACATTACTTGCTGAGATGATGACATACTGCTTTTTTGGTCTAGCAAGTGTCTGTCCTAAATTATTTAATTTTCCCCCATTTAGTTATTCCACCTATGGTCTGCTCCTATGACAGTCTGGATGGTCTGACTGTTCACAAACCTAGTACATGTGGCCATTTCTGAATATCCCAATGTTAAGGAAATACATTCAGGGAGGAAAACGGGGGGAAGTCATTCGTGGATATGTTTAAAACCTTTGATTCATTCCATGATCGAACAGAACTTTTTTTTTAATCTTTTTTTTTTTTTCCATTATTATTATTATTTATTTATTATTATTATCATTATTTGGTAAGGTTTGGGTTTTATTTTGGTTCTGAATATAGCCAGCACCTTCTGTGCCTTGTATTCCTGAGGCTATGGATATACACAGACCTGATATGCAAACAAAAGGCTGACAGGCTACTTCACAACATACACTTCAGCCCAACGTCTCTAGGCATGCATGCAGGGATGGCTGCCCCTGCTGATGCCAGCAGCAACCCAGTGGGACATCATCTCTTGCTCAAGAGGTAGCCCAGCTGAAGCCACTTGGCTGTGCAACCCATACCCTGAGCCAGCATGCAGCCATGCTCATATTTGCCTCTGTCTGCTGACAGAGCCCTCTCCCTGCACACCTTTTGCATCCTAATGTCATTATGCTGTGTAAGGTTGAAAAGATTCTGCTTCCTGGGTCAATTTTTTTGCAGGTTTATTTAGGTTGACATTTGTCTAACTGGGAAAACTATGTCTGGTCTTCATTAAGATATTTTTGAAGACAAACTTTAAAGACCTTGCCTAATAAGAGTGTTTTCTTTTAAAACGTGTTGTGATTAAATGCGGTCAATTACCATCTTATTCCAAACCCACTGATTATAAAGCCAATTATATGAGAGCCAAGAACACACAGTTCCTTCTGGCTGCACTGGAAATTAGTCACATTGAAGCCAAATTAACTTTTTAACTGCTCTCATGATCTGTAAACAGGCTCTCAAAAATGAATCCCCACACTCCCTCCTTTTCTTGCACTCACTACTGCAGCTTCCCACCTAGTCTTTCCTAAAGCTTTATCAGCCCACTTCTTGTGCTCTTCTTCCCTGAGCCCAGTCCAGAGGAGCTGACACCCACTCATTTGATACCCCAAATTTATATCCCGAAGTTTGAAATATCAGGTGGTGTTTCTCCATTGCTCTAGTATACTGCAACTATTTTCAGAACACAGAGAGGCCAAGGGCTGATTTAAGTTATAGCTACAGGGCTATCTCATGTGTTTTTTGCCTGTGCAAATCTAAACACATAGCATGTGCAAAATGCTACAGAGCAGTTCCCTTATATACTCCTTGTGTAGCTGAAGTGCTGCTTTATCTAGAAGAGAGACATTTCCACAGAGATGCACAGTAAAAAGATTCCCCAAACTGTAAATCTGCTTAATGGTGACTACTTGTCCCCTCAATAAAATAAACCAATGTTATAGTATATTTTTAGTACAGTATTAGCAGATAAACAGTGTTTTGTTTTTTGTTGTTGTTGTTTGTTTGTTTGTTTTCTCTTTCTTTTCTTTTCAAAAGGTTGTTTAAGAAAAAGAAAGAATAGCAGGGAGCAGACATATGTTGTGCCTTTTCATTGAATCATTTATTTCTCTCTCCCTCTCATTGCCTGTTGTGTCCTGCAGCTTCCTGCAGTTTTTATTCTGGGTCAATATTAGGACCTTTTTTTGTGGTTTTAAAAAATTAAGTATAACATTCCTACTGTATTCAATTCGGGAGTTAATTGAAAATCTCTAAGGGATCATATTAATTATTGGCAGGTTCAAGTATTGCACCTGAAATTGCTTATCATATGGTCACAGTGCATTAAAAGGCTACTCTAGGCATGCTGATTATTGAAAACTCAATTTTCGCATGTGGATACTTGTTTTCCATAGCACGTTTAGTGAGTCAGTCTTCACTTCTTGGTTGTAGGAAAAATCTTACCTTGTTGTCAGTGTTGCAAGCCCTTGCTTGTAGAAGGATCAGCAGTAGGTAAGAAAACAGCATCCCGGGTTTTCTTGAAAACTGAAAATATCATCCGAGACAGAACAAATAGAGTAACTGCAGCAATACCGCACTCCATTTTAACTAAGATAGTAGATACTGTCTTATTCATATACTCCTCTCTAAGCTTATTTTCTTTTCTGAGGCTGCTTAGTAATTCCTTCAGCTTAATGAGCTACCATTTTGGCAACCACTAAGCAACTTTGATTTAGTGATGTGACATTCTTAAAAAGAAACAGTTGTAAATGTGCTGAGAGAGCTGGCTTCTTGCTCTTTGGCACCATAGCAGATACTGGCTTCAAATAAAAACACTTGCTTTGGTACTGACAAGAAACTTTACGTTGTTTCTGTGTTAGTCATACTGTATGTCAACCTCTGTCGGGGTGGAAACGTTGGCTGTCATCATGTGGAATTAGCCTAACATGCAGGATCTGATCCAGAATTCAGAGAGGCATTACACAGACTGATTACCTGGAACAGAGATCAAAGAGTAGGCAGATTTTTACCATGAAGAATCTCCATGATGACTTCCTTCAAATATTGCCAAACTTAAGTTTCTCAGTTGCCTTTTAAATGGTTGTCTTAATTATAGTAGAGATGACTGAAGTGAATACAGACTTAGGATCTGTAAGTTTCTCACGATAGCAGTTTGAGTTAATAAAATTGTCTTTTCTTTCTGTTTGATTTATAAAAGAATACAGATTTCTGTATTCCTTTTTTTCAACATCAAAAGAATAAAAATAATTAAAATTCCTATTATTCCCGCAGATTGGAAAAGAAAAAAATATCTATCCTTTACTTTTTACAAGTGCTGGAGGACTATCCATATGTGGCAAGTATGAATAGTTGTGCAAGAATTTCCCCTCTTATTTTTTGGTATTTTTTTAAGCCTATGATTCATTTTTCACTCTGCGTACTTTAGCTTAATTTTCTGCATGTTTCCTTTCCTTATCTGCTCCTTCTTCCCACACTGCCTGTCTTCTCTTCCGTGCTCTTCTCTCTGTATGCATCTCCCATACATAATCACCCGCTCTTTGCGTAAAGGTTGAATTTCCTCACAGACAGACAATTAAAACAAAGAAACAAGCGGGAAAAAAAAAAACAAACAAACAAACAAAAAAAAAAACACAAAACAAAACAAACAAACAAACAAAAAAAAAAACAAACAACCAAACAAGAGAACTCTAAGAAGACAGAAGGGGTAACATTAGCTCTTAACTCTTTCATACTTCCACAGTTTATCTCCCCTTGTAATTTTTTCCTCTTTAGCAAAATCCAGTAAATACTTAAATGTGTGTAAATTTATTCACTTTGGGGACTGACAGAAAAGGGAGATTTTAAATTCAGAATGTCTTCCAAGCAAAAGGAAAGTATATACATATATAAGAAATTCACTTCATATTTTCAGTCTAATTGCATTTTTTAATCTTTTAAATATTGAAACCATACTTCTTGATGCATGGAATGCAAGGTTCCCTTGATGATACAGTTAAGTCTGAAGGCTTATCCTTGGGAAAAAAAAATAAATTCATTATTTAGAAGTCAATGTATAGTACTGAATACTGTTATGTAACAGGCCGCAGACAAATTATTATTGTACATTTTCAGAAACTAACATGTCTAAACATTGTTTATTTATTTCTGCTGATAGAATTGTAATCAGATTGTTTATTTGATAAGTCTCATTCACAACCCAATGGAGGCAATGGCTGTGGAACAGAAAGAGAATAAAAATGACTGAAATAAGTGATGGGAATAACTAGTCACCTGTTTCATTAAGTACCATCAGAAATCTGGGGTATTTCTACACATGTTCCTTAGCATAGGAAACAGATTTTGCAACATTGGCAAAATTGTTTGTGTGTGTGTGTGAGGGAGGGAGAGTGTTTTTTTTTATTATTATTATTTTTTATTTATATATTTTTTTGTCATATGGATCTTGAAGTTTAAATCTTTCCATTGTTTTTGGACTACTACATTTGAAAACATTCTGAAGTGTGACTATTAAAACATTCAGTTAATTATTTGATGGCTTTAATAGGGAATAAATACTCTGCCAGCACTCTAATTTTTACCTTTGATGTCAGCTAATGGGAGAGCAGAGTTTCAGGTACTTGTATCTGAAGGCCGAAATGTTTCTTGGTCTTGACTACAGAAGATGCTCTTTGGACTCCACCTTCTCATCGCAATGATGAAAATCTGATTTGCATGATATTGTACTCTCTACATGGAATTCAAGGAACCCTAAAGGTACTTTCTTTTCTTTACTTACGTAATTATGTAATATGTAGATTCAAAACCGTGATGAATTGGTAACTGACATATGTTTGAAGGCTGTTGTAAGTGGGACATATTTTGAATTAATTGTTGTAGCTTGGAAAAAAATAATATTTTTAGAAAAAAAAAGTTCTAGTATTGTATCATAATTTTGCTTAGGTTTTGGCTAAAGAAAGACTTTATTTTAAAAGTAAAAATAAATAAAATAAGCTCATCCAAGGAGAATTTAAGCTCCATGAAATTAATAGGAGTAGCACTAGAAAGCTAAATAAACATTTCCTTAAAATCTCCATCTCAGAAGAAATTCCTGCATAAGTTTCAGTGCCAGCAAGAATGAAACAATCACACAGAAGAGGCGTGCACTATTCTCTTGCTCAGAAAGATCTCCAGTGAAGTTGATTAAGGTGTATATAGTCCAATGTTTCCAGCCATGCATATAATTTTCATATCTTGCTCTCCTCAGATTAAATATTAAGCCTATATTTTGCCTTATATTAAACCCTCTTCATAACAGAAGAGATAGAAAACAAATTTTGCATATGCATTTAACTGTGTAACTTCCTATTCATTTTTACTAACTGGAATGACAACAGACTGATAGCATGATATTTCTGATATTTGCTAGCATTTTCTGTAACGAAGGAGGACAATCTTTCCCAGACATTTTGTTTTAAACCTAAAAAATATCCCAGATTTTTCTAGCTCCCCAGACACATTCTTACCAGCAAGAAAGATATGGCTAAAGAATAAATTCTAATTGTTCACCTTTGTGGGGATATGAATAACATGCATATTAGATTTCTCATGCAAAGAAATGCCAAGAAGTTTTTGTGTTCCTGGAGATTTCAGTAGTCTGCAGAGATAAGGGCCATTGATTTGATTTGTTATCTCTTGTGCACTTTGAAGGCAATCATGATTCCTAGTTTTTAATGTTCTTTTTTTCCTATGGAATATGGAGAGGCCATGTCAACATATCTAAAACAATATATATGTATATTGCATGTGTGTGTATTTTAAAGCTTTCAGTATTTTTTCTTAAACTATTTGTATTTCAAAGGCTTGATCTAAAACCAAATGAAGTCATATTCCCAGTGTTTTCAGTGTGCTTTGGACTGCCTATTCTATTTTATATCAACTAAATGTGCATGTATTTATTTTTTCAGTTAGGGTGCAGCTCTCAAAAGATCTTCAATAAGATTTAATTACTAGAAATAAATAGTAACCCTTAATTTGGAATATGTGACTGAAAGTCATGTTTCACCTTTAAGAAATAAAATATTTGTGTGTTCAGCTGAGCAGTGAGACAGTAATTCTCATCTACTTATATGGGCGTAGCCCTTTAGCAATATCACATATTGTATGAAAAGATTATCTTGCTTGTATGAAAATACATGTTAGTTTATGCCTGTTTTTTCATAACATTTAACTGGATTTTAAATCTCTTTGCTAACTCACATTGCTATGGTAGCATTCAGTACCAGTCCATGCACTAACTTTTTGGACTGACACCAAAATAAAGAGTAAAATGTTAAATATCATAAAAGACACTTGGATAATTTGAGGTGCAACATGAAGCTGAGTGAATGTTAGGTTTTCAGCCAGCCAATTTGCAAATAAGTTCCATTTTCCCCAAACCATTTGCAAACATAGACAGAATTTGTCAATTAATATTTGTAGAGCGAAGGGGGCTGGCTAGAGGGATAGGAGAAAGGGGAAAAAGAAAGGAAAAGGAGAGAGGAACAGAAATGCTTTACAGAAATTTCAGTTATATCCTTGCAGAATGTTCTTGGTGAATGACCCTTGCCTGGCTGTGCCAGTACCTCTGGCCAGGCAAAGAAGACTTCCTTTCAAAGCTGCAAGTTCCTGGGATACCTTGGGGATTCAGCAGAGCTTTTACCACTGAGGCTGCCATGCTGTCAGTAAGACACAGTTCTTCACTAAATACATTTAATAAATAGAAAAAAAAATGCAGATGACTATAAGAACATATATAAAATGCATTTGGGAGATGTAAGTACATCACCTTATGCCTTGCTATACTCCATTGTGCCCCCAGTGCAGTAATATGAAGTTGCTGTGCATCTTGGCATATGAAATTTCTACCCTCTGTTGTGCTATTCTTATGATTAGATTTCTGGTTTGAAAGCAACATTTGTATTTAGACTCTTATTTTTCTTTTCCTTTGCCATAATGTTACATTTAATGCATCTTTTATAACGAGTACATTGTTGTTCTGGAAACCTCATCACCACTCCTAACAGGGTACAACATAATCACTCTATTTTCTTTTAGAGAAGTTATTTGTTGTTGTTGTTATTTTTATTTATTTTTATTTTCCCACCTCTGCTCATTTTTCTTGCTTCTCTGCCCCTGCCCAACAAAGATTCATTGTAATAGAAAACAGGCTCGGTAATAACTGCCTGTTATGTTTTTGCTTAATGTAGTGTGCAAAATATGACAAGGGTGAATGTTAGTAGATGTAGCAACAATCAGAATATTTCTTTTATTCTAGCTGTTGTATCCTGTATATGCAATAGTTGGAAAACACGTTAAACAAGCAGGGAGAGTAAGTCATAAATCTAAAGGTTGGAAATTTCAATTGTACATTTTTTTCCTGAATATCGAAAAAGAGAGTGGTGGAATGGCATAGTATCTAAGATTAATGCATTAAAAACAAACAAGCAAACAAAAAACCACAATCACTAATGTATTAAGTTTGATGAATACTCATGGTATAAATAATTCTTTCAGTATGCACTGCAATCTCTCTTTATCTGCATCATATTGAAAACTGATTGTGGTTGCTAGCCCCTTCATCTAGATGCTATTTTAACTAAGAAACCTTAGTTTTAATTTAATTCAATTTAAAACATTTCCAGGTTACTGCTAACAAACTGTACTAACAAACCATTCAAGTCTGACACACATTTTACGAACTGCAACTACTATGAAAATACGGTTTAAGTTATACCATTACTATACATTTACTTTAAATGTTAATCTGTCACAAAAACACATGTATTTCTTACATTTTCTGTAGGAATATATTTCCAATTTATATGCATAACCCAAAAACAGTTTCTGTCACCCATATATAGCGTCCTATCTTAACTTTGATTCATATATTTGAGAAGTATATTCATGACGATTTACATTGCCTTGCTAATCTGAATTTATTCATTCTGGATGCATTCATTTACTGTTCTATCTTTAGTATTCCAAGAAAAGCTGCAGAGTAGTGTATATTCGTTGTTTCAGTTCTATAACTGTATTTGCTTATTTGTAAATCAATATATTTCAAGCCTCAAACTGAGGTCCACGGTGTTGGATCAAGAATCAAAGAATCAAGAATCTTGGATTCTTGATTCCTTGGCTTCTGTTTTGACAGGAACTTCAAGTTTTCTTGCAGACCTTTGCATCACATCTACTCTCAAAAGAAAAGATATCTCTGTAGGTGAGAAACATGCAACTATATTAGACAAAGCTGCCGAGTAGGCTGACTTAAAAGTCAATGTCAAGTGTAAATTTAATATACAGGAGGTGACACAGTTGGTTATTTAAGAGAACCTGCTTTCCAAAATATCAAGAACTCAGGGCAGAACAATTATCATGATCTAGAATAAATAGATATGTTTACTTTGTATATGAAAAAATGTGTGTAATTGCATAATTGTTTTAACAATAAATGTCCTGCAGGGTATCTGCATATGAAATATCATATATGATATATGTTTTTGTGGAAGGAACTGGAAAAAATAAGTCCAGAGTTCCATGAAATAATAAGTGATCTTCTAGGTTTTGAAGGATAATCTATTACTCCTGCTGAAAAAAAATGCAAGGTTGTTTAAAATGACTGTTTATAAATGTATTTATATTACTAGGTTCCTTTTGTCCTATAACTCCTATTAATTTAGGTCAAGGAGCCAGTCACAGTCTTGATTCCAAATAGTACTTTTTCAACATCGCTTTCTGTTGTGTCGTTGGTGCAAGGTGTTTATAGATGTCCTGGCAGCAGATGATGAACATTGTTTTACACCAGTCTCCATTTGAAACCTACCTCTGACATGTCACTTACTCTGAAAAGAGCTGGGCACTGAACATGAACTTACATTAATAAAACTTTAGAGCATTCACAGAGTAATTAATTTAATCCATTTTTTTTTTTTTTTTTAAGAGGCAAAGGTTTCCTTTGCTCTGTGTGCCACTTAAAATGTGCTAGACATCAGCTGATATCATTGAGCCTTGATTTTTTTAATTATTATTATTATTTTATTTTTCCTCCATTGTATATATTCATATATATATATCTGCATGTTCCGAATGCAATAGATGACTTACCAATGACATGCAAACTTGATGGCGTTCCTTCATAATTTACATTTCATCACTATAGAAGAATAATGTATTTCACAGTTAACATCGTCCACACAGTTGACTTTGGAATCTTTACATTCCTTCAGTGCAGGGAGAAGAAACTTTATTTTTCTAACAGGACAATAAAATAACCTACCCAAATGGAATATTTTAGGTTTTGCAGTACTACTTCTGTTTGGTGCTGAATTTTAACTTTCCTTTAAAGCTTTTCTCCTGAGATACATCAATAAGCTATTTCCTCTGCTCATCTCTTCAAGAAATAGAAAATGTAAGATATAAAATGTATTGCCTCATAGGAAAATTTTCTGTGAATTGCTTTACAGGATACCAGACTGTGAATGTCTAGTCTTGCAGTTGTAACAACTCTATTTAAAAGCTGTAGAACTATCTCTTTCCTTCTCTTCAATTTCCACACTTTCTTTTAGACATTCATAATTAACAGCAAATCTCAGATTTGATTTCTTTGTAATCCTTGCCAGAGGCTGTATGGGAGACACTCACTTCACAATCCTGCTGATCAGAGCTGAGTAAATGAGTACTTCTAGCAGGAAGATTTGTGATGTTATATCTTTGAAAAGGTTCAGAAAAAGCTTTTATTTGAGAATAAAGACAGAGGATAGACACTAGCCTGGAAACTTTGTAAAAGATGGGCCTACCTGTCGATCTCTAATTTATTATGTTGCAAAGGTTGAAATGTTTTCCCTTGAGCCTTACCACACAGAGTTAGTATTTAGAGGGCATTATGTGAGGTGACCTGTTATGACATGGGGTAAGCATGATGAAAGGGGAAAAATAAACTTCAGTGTAATATAACACTGGGGGGAGCAAGAAGGGGTTGTTCTTCATTCTTGTCAGGCAGATGGAGCAAAGTTCAAACACACCAAAAAATATCAGATTGGTTTCAGAAGTCGGGAATAAATTTCTGGCTGGTGTTTGCATCCAGACAAAAGAAATCTTGATGAATAGCTGTTTCACGAATAGGCATGAAGTGCTACAAAGCACCCTTACTTTCTCTTTGCCCTATCAATAAAGGGAGTATTCCCATTCCCATTTCTGTGTTACTTCTGGACATGCACCAATCTTTCCTGCAGCATCTGTTAGGTACTTGCTTTGAAGATAACGATTAAAATTTTGAAAAGATGAATTTTTAAATACAGGTGAAATGTAAAATTTTTATGGAAGCCCCAGAATGGGGAAGCCTACCCATATCTAAGGGTCTATATGGTTAAATAAGAAAGAGAATATTTGGGAGTGGAGTGCATGGACTTCAGCACCTAAGTCCTTCTTTGTCTTTTTCTTTGGGGTCCTTAAACCCTTCACTGAAATGATAACAGGAGCTCATCTCTTTTTTTTTTTTTTTTTTTTTTGGGGGGGGGGGCGGGAGGAGTGGAATTCATGGGGATAAATACATTTAGAAAGAGCAAACTGTTAAGGATCTACAATCCAAGAGTCTATCTAGCTATCTGTAGAGAAATGTTTCATCTGTGGTATCAATGATTTAGTTTGAGAGCTTTGCATCTGGCTATTGACATCTTTCGTGGTGACAACCAGCAGAAGAAGCATTCTAACCTGTTAAACAGCTTTTAGAAGAGACAGAAAACAATGGTGTGACTTACGTGTAATTAAATAACATTTGAGAGCTGTTTTTTACTGCTGCTGTTTGATCCTTTTTGCTCTAAAAACAAAACAAACTTGCATAGGAAAATAAATGTCCCCACTCACCACCACCACCAAAAAACAGAACATGAAAATGCTGCTTCTGTCTGGTAGCTTGCATCTCTTGAATTTCCTTCCTCTGCAGTCTTGCTGCTGTTAAGTTACAGTGCAGATCAGTGTCTTATCAGACATTCAGCAAACTTTTAGCAGCCTTATGTTGCTTAAATCATTACTTTCAGGTTGCAGGCTCAGGGTAGCACTGCAAAAAGGTGGATTTATCTTCTCTGGCTCTTATTAGAAGGAAGTCGGGCAAGAACACACAGGAAAGAGGAAGAATTAGGAAATGAATAATGCACCAGGGAAGTAACAATAGCTAGAATCAAAGGGTCACACCAGGTATTGTCAGAACTAGACAAATATGGTGGAGATGAAGATGCCACCTAATTTTAGACTTTACATTCATTCTGCGGGGACACATTTTCCATCAGGCTAACAAAGGCACCACAGTGGAGTTTTGTGTGTGGCAGATCCAGTCATCAGGCTGAAATCGATTTCTCCCATTTGCCTTATAGTCTTTGATATGCAAACTCCAAAAGGTGATGGCAGTCTCTTCCCATTAAAATAACCTTTCAAAACTGATTCTTGGCAACATCAGAGTTCAACTACCATCACTGTTTTTACAGGACTTGATGTAGTCTTGATGATTTACAGTCCAGTCAGGAACTCTTGGATAAGTTTTGATTAAACTTTTGTAGCTTAAATCACTATTTCTTTTCTAATTGCTGTTTCACTGTGGTTACTTTTGAGAGTGAGTTTAGAATATAAAAAGAAATGGACCTTGGCATAGAATACACATCTTTCCAGAACAAGAACTGTACATGGTTATCAC